TGCACGCAGGTTAGTTACAGATTAAGGTAACATCTTGTAATAAATAATCACCTCAGCCTCTCTTTTATGAACTGCCACCTCCCTCCTGGCAAGAGTGCAATTTCGTAGATAGGTTTTGATGATCTGAAATTGAAGGAGGGTCCAAAAATGAGGGGGTTCCAAGCAGGTTGTGAGGGTTCTCTAGTTGAATTTCCAGGAGATTTGCTTTCTGATGAACTTCATTTTGCAAGAGTTTTGAGTAAATCACTGTCTTTTGTATCCTTTAGTTGCTTGTTGACTTGCAGCTAGTTCATGTTTTGGCTTTCTGATGACTGAACTGATGGTTCAATGCCTTCAAACAGCTTGCGTTCTTTTTCTAAAAACAATACAGAAAGAAACATAAATGTTTCACCATGTGACTTTCACAAGCTCAATGTTTCCCTTAGAGTTTATATATTTATGTCAATTCCAACATGCTGTGTTGTAGTTTAATATCTTTGAGATTTATTTTGTCTGGTTTGGATTTTATTTTTATTCCCTCATAGGATGTGGGCAGCACTTACTGCCTATCCCCAGTTACCATTCAGAAGGTGGTGGTGAGCTGCTGCCTTGAACTGCTGCAGTCCATGTAGAGTAGGTACACCCACAATGCCACAAAGTTCCAGGATTTTGACCCAGTGACAAAGAAGACTATTACAGTACAAAGGAAGGTGAATAGTGCCCGTTCACTTGAGATAGGGTACTGTCAACAGCTCAAATACTAAAGATCACATGACAACAGAAGGCATTTTAGTGACCTGCATCTATCCAGTTTTTGGAAGTATTAACGAAAGTCCATAAGATAGTGGGACAAAACAATATGTCATTAAAGGTGAAGCAATTAGCTGAACTTTATTCATTTCAACAATATTTATTAGCACTCTTCTATTTTTCAGTGCTTGCAACGCAGTCTTGGAAGCTGATGTAAATTGAATAGGTTTTTCCTTTTCAATGCTTTAACAGAAGTACTAACCTATTCAGAATAAATAAGTCAATAGCTCTAAAATTAGCAGAGAGAGCAGTTTTATGACTGTGTTAAGCATTTGTCCACTTAGATTAATCTTCAGCCTACAGTTCCTAATACCTTAGCATTGGGGAATTGGTGCAAAGGAGTTGTTTCTACAGTATATTATTCTTATTTAAAGCATTTGTTAAGATGATTCAAAAAAAAGTTTCATTCCTGTAGCTGTATTTAACCTTGTAAAATTCTCTAGGTATACCAGAAGACCCTCCCAAAATAAATATGACACCCAGACATAGAGTGAACTACTAGAATGATCTTATAATGTTGGAATAATTAGATAATCCAAGGGTTGGTCAAATAGCTAGCTTTTAAGAATAAGAAGTAGCATTAGAATCCTCATTAATTTTTCATTCCTTTTATTTGACTCTTTTATCAAGTTTAGCTTGGAGCTGTGAGCTGAGAACTGTGGGTGGCACAGTGGGTCAGTGGTTAGCACTGCTGCTTCACCGTGCCAGGGAGCCAGGTTCAATCCCACCCTTCGGTGACTATCGGCGTGCAGTTTGCACCTTCTCCCCATGTGTGCGTGAGTTTCCTCTGACAGTCCAAAGATGTGCAGATTAAGTTGATTGGCCATGCTAAATTATCCATAGTGTCCAGGGATATGCAAGCTAGCTGGATTAGTTATGGGAAATGTAGGATTATAAGGTCGAATGGCCTGCTTCCACACTGTAGGGATTCTATGATCTATAAGGTTAGGGGGGAATGGGTCTGGCTGAGATGCTCGTTGGCAGGTCGGTGCAGACTTGATGGGCTGAATGGCCTGCTTCCACTCTGTAGGGATTCTATGATTCCATGTGAGCTAAAAATGACTTTTGGACTGTGGCAGCAGTTTGGGCTAAAAAAAAAATGAAGAGAAAAAAATAAGGCTAGGCCTGGAAGTTAATTGCAGGTTGGTTCTTGAACTTCAACAATGGGGGAGAGCAGTATGTTTAACCAAATATCAGAGATTTAGCCAATAACAAGGTCAGTACCTGGGAACTGGTTCCATTAGGTCTGGGAGAGACCTTATGATCAAGCAAATGGCAGTTTTGAATGGTAACTGGGACATTGTGAGGAGACAGTCTGACAGGGAGAGATCTGGGTTTTGTACTGTATTTTCTGTGAGAAGGAGTTTGGCTGTTAATGCTACAGCAAAAAAAAGTGAATGCTCACTGCCCAACCTCCCATTATCAGCTATCAGACGTCTAGAGAATAGAAACTAAGTTATAAGTATCACTGACTTCCTCAGAGTGAACTGAAACCTGGCCTCATAAGCAACCAAAAAACAACCATATATGTTTGTGGAACAACACATCGTGATACTTACTTCAGTAGTGCGGCCAATATTATTGTTTATTTTTATTTACCTCTAAACTGTTTGCATGTTTGTCTTTCTATCTTTTGTGTGTTGGGGAAAAATGAAGGTTATTGGGTTTAAATCATATACGTCAATTAAATTGCTTAATTTTCTTCAGTTATTATCACTGTCTTATTAATAAATTGATAAGTCTTTAGTTTAAGCTAAAAATCTGGACTTGCAGATGCTAGGATTGGTTATTCAAAAAGTCTAGTTAGGATCTTTTGTAGTCGATTTTGAGAGTCTTTGTCGGTTTGTATTTTACTGTGTTGTGAATGCAGAGGTAGAAAGGCTGAATTGATTCAGCTGTTTGTCTCTGTTAAAACAGGAGCAAGATCACCTCAATCCTCCCTCTCATTGGTGGGAATCAGTGATCCACTTAAGTCGCATCATCTTGAGGAGAGGTGGAGATATTAGGAAGGGACTTTTAATTGTAGGCAGCTGCAGGTAAAGTAGAACAGTAGTAGAATGATTACAATCATATATACATGTAAAAACAGAATTTGTCAATCAGTTCAGTAGTTGACGTTACTACTTACAAATAGAAATGTTAAATCAAACAAGGCATTTAGAGTCTTATTTGAAGTGTCCATGACCCAGCACAGCTAATTTCAGCTGTAGTAAGTTTTCACCATTAATAGGACATTTTGTGAACCATCCTGATGGTTGAAACATTGTGTAATAACCTGAAATAACAAAGAATTGAAAATAATTCACTATTATTTGTCCATGTTGGATTTGTGATCAGAAGACACGGTTGTTTCCTAATTGCTTTCTTACCCTTTCTGTGTAATTACAGTACTCAGATGAGGAAAGTAGCTACCCGACAAATAGCTAAGATCAAAGACCGAGTCCTTTGATTTCACGGTTCAAAATTACAGTCACTACAGCAACCAAGAGCACAGAAGAGTCATTTTACCCAAGGGAGAGCGTACACTCCTTCAATATACTTTCTTTGAGCTCTATCTTATTTAGAAGTCAAGGTGTTATACTGACCATGATGACTCGGCTAAACAGCCATTGTGATGAAATGAAAGGAGATGACAGTTTGTATGTCATTGAAAGGAGCAATACCCCTTCAGTCAGCTCATGCAGGCTGATTGGTATTTAAATGCACGCATCTGAGCTGTATGTTTCTTTGTTGGCTTCACCCGCAAAGCACTGAGAGAGGTTGCTATAGCCGAGCTCTGTGTCTGATATGCAGCATGTGAAGGCAAATGTAATGATTTTTAAAAATAAAATAATTGGAAAAGACATTTCAGAATATTTTAAATAGGCGGAAAAATGCTTAGCAGCATGCCACTTGCTGTGTAATGGATGTTCTCTGCATCACTTTTTCTGCTTCAACAGTAAGTAGACCGTTAAGTTTGATCATAGTAGCTCCTCATTATCAAAACCATTCTCCTTCCTCTAAAGAAAAAATACTGAATGAACAGAATCAAACTTTAAAAAAACTTGGCATTTGAAATAAAGTTGTTAAATCACATTTATGTGAAGCTTATATCGATAGCATAAAAGTTAAGCACCAGAGTATTAAAACATAATTCGATAGGTCATTTGCTGAATAGAGTAATGTGGCAGAATTATGCTTTAGGAATAATTATGCCATTTTTATGTCTTTACCCTGTTGTTTTTTTTTAATCTGCACACAGTAATAATACATCCAGAAGGAGAAAGTAATGGGATCACTGCTATGTGGTCACTATTTGCTACTCTAATGGTCTTCTTGTAGAGCAGAATTGCAGAGTATTGTGAACAAATTCCCAAAGCATCTTTGGGACTTGGCAATAGTATGTGGAAGGGTAGCATATATCACCTGGAATGTAGGCAAATTCCTAGTGAGAGATTGAAGTCTCAGAAATTGACTTCTTTCCAGATTTCTTTGCCAGTCTTTAAGAGATTCATTGGCAGATCAGAAGAATCTAACTGAAATTGAGGGTCAAAATGTAGTAAGTAAGGGGAAAAGGTCTCTCCTGAAGAACATCTTTACATCATGTCTACCATGAAACAGGTCTTCAATTTGTGGAAGAAAGAAATAGTTTTGATTCAAGTTATACAATAGATTAAATCCATGGTTCTCAGAAACCAATAGAATCACATTCATGGAACAAAATTGAACTTGTTAAATGGATATGTTTGTTGATCCTGTGTTCTGTGTATGTCATCAAGCTTGAATGACGTGCAGATCAGTGACGAGCTGTGTAAATATTATAGCTCTAGAAAGACTAGCAAGTTTTACTTGAATAAATACTCAACTAAGGGTATCTGTTTACTTAGCAAAGTACAGGTCTTTTCAGCTGCTACATTGCTTCTTGCACTGGCTGAGGTTACCATGAAGGAGTCTCCTTCTCAACTTCTTCCCTCGGCTGAAGCATCGTGACCCTTCAAATTAAACTACTACCAGTCGTGTATCTTTCTAATGAGAGAGCAGCCCTATGGTCCAGGAGGAATATGGTGACTTTATTACATTAGGACATTTGTTTAGCATTTTGCCGTCTATTCACAATGGTACATCTGATGGAATCGATCTGTGTTACCATGTAATTGCTAATTATGTCTATGTTGTTCATTCTGAAAGTCTGTGTTTGATTACTTGTCTACTGTTTGTTTCTCCTCTTGCAGCCACACTGCAAGTTGATATCGTGCCATCCCAAGGAGAGGTCAGTGTGGGAGATTCCAAATTTTTTCTATGCACTGGTAAGTTGTGACATGTCAAAGAGTAAGGTCAGTGAAACCAATTCTATAAATGCATAGCTCACAAAATACAAAGATTATTATAACTGCACCATTGTTTCTATAGTTGTAAAATTAAATGTAACAGATAATCCAGCGTTCTCCTAAATAATAAGGTCCCCAACTAGTAAGCACAGCCAAGTGAGACCTGTCTTACCTTGCTTCAGCGAATAAACCACCCACATTTTGTTTGATGCTACTTGTTAATTATGCATGTATTGCTGATTGTTTTCTTAACAAATCCAAGACTGGAGCATCCTCTTGCACTTTCGGTTCAACTTCTCCTAACAAATATGCACAGAGTCTTTTTGCACAGTAGAAGCTCTTCCTCAGTGAATCTTAACTGAATGCCAAGAACTGTCTGTAATATCAGGACACGGTTTATCAGCACTTATTCATCACAGTGTACTTGCTATGATTGATGGACAATACTAATATCATAAAAAAACCAGCTCAGTGTACTTCCAGGATAGGGATATTGATTACAGTCCTGGGCCGCCCTTCTGGCTCGCCTCAGCGACACGTACTTAATTTATCTTATGGTTATAAAATAAGGTTAAGGAGGTCATTCAAACAAATTGATGTTATCCTTCAAGATTACTAACGTTATCCTCTTCTGCAGTGATGTCTGAATGTTTCCTAAATTAATCCATTGTCAAGTTTCCAGCCATTCTTCCTGGCAAATGGTGTCCTGCTGGATTTCTGTTTAAAAAGGATTATTACCTGATGTTTTTCTGAAATTTGCTCTTCACAACCTTGAAACTCTTCTCCTCTGATTATCTTGGCACACCCAAAGCACTGTTCCCTGTTTATTTTTTTCAAACGAACTTGTTATAGTAGTGACCGCAGGAAATGTGCTGATGATCAAGCCCCATATTTCACTCGTCGTTTTAGAAAGGTATAGATACAATCCCACACATTGTCTGTCAATTCCCTTTTTATACTACTGTCCAGAATAGAGGAGACTTTCACCAGGTTACTTAATGAATTCAAAATAATCTGTTTATTGCTAATTCTTAATTCTTAAAAACGAATCCTTAAAATAGCGGCAAACACTGGTTAACATCTGAATGATAATCTGAAATTAGAACGATATCGTCTTAATCTCAAGCATAGACATACACAACACAAAAGACAAAATCTCTGCAAAAATGATGTTTTAAAACAAAAAAAAGTCAAAAGGAAAACACTCCTGTTGGTCAAGAATCTGAAAACAATGGATGGAACTTGATTGATCTGGGGAAGGTTCACTGGACCCGAAATGCTGACTCTGACTTCTCTCCACACTTGCTGCCAGACCTGCTGAGCCTTTCCAGCACTTTCTGTGCTAGTTTCTGATTTGCAGTATCCACAGTTCTTTTGGTTTTTATGGAGAGATTTAGGGCTCCCTGGGGTTTCCTTCCTTATTGACCACTTAGGTCTGTGAGAACAGAACTCTAAACCCATAAATTGTTGTCATGCAATCACCAAGGCAGAGGTCTCATTATTTTTTCAGAGTGTGGTTTTACATCAATTAAGGGTGTTAAACCTCTATCCTACTTCCCTAAAGGTTTCGCTTTTCTTTTCTTCAAAATTACTCGAATTTCTGTAGACAGCAGATAGACCACAGCACACATGAAGCTGTTGTCTTGATTTCCAAGAAACTACATGGTAAACATGCTTTTCAATCTAGAAAGTGTCCAAACTGTTTCATATCTCTCAATTTTTCATAGTCAATAAATATGAATATGTATTCCCAATATTCCATTAATGCTGAAGAATAAGGGGAGAAAGTAAATACCATCACTATCGCTAGAGAAGCAGAATTAGATAAACTAATGGGACTAAAAACACATAAGTTCCCTCATCCTGAGGACTTGCATCCTAGGTTCCTAAAATAGGTCACTACAGAGATAGGGGATGCAATGTTTGGAATTTTCCAAGAAATTAATAGCATCTGTAGAAATACCAGAGGATTTAAAAACTGCTAATGTGTAACAGCACCATTCAAAAAAAAAGAGGCAAGAAGTGTATAACTATAGGATGATTAGCCTAATATCTATTGCTGGAAGAGTATTGGAATCAATTATTAAGAAAGCAATAGCAGAATATTTGGAAAATCAAATCTTTTTTTTTATTCAGTAGTGGGACTTGGGTGTCACTGTCTGGCCAGCATTTTTATTTCCTGTGTCTAGTTGCCCTTGAAAAGGTGTTGGTGAGCTGCTGCCTTGAACCACTGCAACCCATGTGCTGTAGGTTGACCTACATGCTTTTCGTTAGGGAATTCCAGGATTTTGATTAATGAAGCAGAGTCAGCATGGCTTCATGAAAGGAAAATCATGCCTGACTAATTTATTAGTGTTGTTTGAGGAAGTCTTAACTAGAATAGATGAAGGAGAAAGACTAGATGTGTGGCATTTGAAGTTTGGAAAGTGTTTGACAAGGTACCACAAGAAAGGTCAAGTCATAAGATAAGAACCCATTGTGTTAGAATAAGTATATTGGCATGTATAGAGAATTAGCTCATGGGCAGGAAACAGCGAGTTAGAATAAGGAGCACTTTTTTCAGGTTGACAACCGAAGAATCAGTGTTGGGACTGCAACTGTTTGCAATATATATAAATGACTTGGAGGAAGGATGTGAATGTACTGTAGCCAACTTTGCAGACAACACAAAAATAGGTGGCAAGACAGGTTGAGAGGGGAACACAGACAGTTTACAGAGAGATGTTATTAGGTTGAGTAAGTGGACAGCAAGTTGGCCAATGGAAGTTAATGTGGGAAAATGCTAAATTGTTCATTTTGGAAGAACAGAATATTATTTAAATGGACGAACACTGCAGAAAGCTGCAACACAAAAGGACTTGGTATCTGTACACAAAACATAGAAAATTAGCAGACAGTTGCAGCAGGTAATCAGGAAGGCTAATAGAATGTTAGTCTTTATTTTAAGGGAATTGAAGTATAAGAGTAGGGAAGTCTTACTTCAACTGTACAAGGTGCTCGCTAGACCGCATCTGGAGTACTGTGAGCAGTTTTGGTCCCTTTATTTAAGAAAAATTGTCATTTCATTGGAGGCAATTCAGAAAAGGCTTACTAGGATGTTCGCTGGTATGAAGGGATTGTCTTCTGAGTAAAGGCTAAACAGTTTGGGACTCTACTCACTGGAGTTCAGAAGAATGTGAGGTGATCCCATAGGAATTTGACAGGGTAAATGTTGAGAGAATGTTTCCGCTCATGGGAGAGACTAGGATCAGAGGGCACAGTCCCAAAATAAAGGGGCACCACTTTAAGGCTGAGATAGATAGATTCTTGATCAGTCAGGGAATTGGGGGTTACAGGGAAAGGGCAGGAAAGTGGACGTGAGGAATGTTGGATCATTCATGAGCTTTTGAATGATGGAGCAGATTCAGTCTTAGAACAAATCAAGAAGCCAGTATACTTCAGCAAGGTTGTTTGAGGTATCTGCTTGCAAGAGTGAAGAGTTGTAAGGCCTGTTAGAGTTAACTTTCCTCTAATAGATCGATATGAATGATCTTCTTTGCATTCTCCATGGTAGAAGTTCCCTAGGCGTGAGGGAAGCAAAGCAGAAGCCAGGCCTGACAAACAGTTGAGTGAATGTTCCACTCGAAGCCACACATATTGACTTGGAATTATATCGCTGTTCCTTTGCTGTCACTGAGTCAAAGTGCTGGAACTTGCTCTCTGACAGCACTGTGGTTCTAGCTACACTGCATTGATCACAGTGGCGCAAGAAGGCAGCTCACCACTGCCTTCTCCAGGGCAATTAGGAATGTTTAATAGTGAAGGACTTGCTAGTGATGCCCACATCCTGTGAACGAATAGAAAAACAAATAATATTCGGCTAGGCTTGCATGCGGGAATGATTGGAATCCATTGAAGCATAAACCTTATTGTTGTCCGCTTGCAAATGGGAATATAATGTCAATGGAAGTGGTTTGTGGCCGTTGGAGCTCAGTTCCAATGATGACGAGCTGATTCAGGTCTGTGTGGCAGGAATCTGAGTGGGTTGAAACTCCTCTTGCAGCAGCCAACAGCAACAATAGTTGGGACAGCAGTCACAAACTACAACATGGAACAAACACATGCAGTGTACGTGCTTTTCAGCTCTTGATCTTGGATCAAAACAGGCACTGCCTTATCCAAGGTATACACATGCAGAAGAGGCATCTATATCCCCAGCTTCAGGTTAAGTGTTTCTCTCTCGCACGACAAACTTGCACAGATGTCTCCTTTTGTTTTTTGAGAGCGTTGCCATGGGAAATTGGAGGTTTTGCACTTGGGAAGTATTCCCTCTCATCACAACTCTTGTTGCTGATAACTCCAACAGTGTTTTCTGTAGCACTTCATTGTCACACATCTCAATCACTTTTAATCATTGCCAAGTGAGCTCTAATGCAAGCCAATATATTTTATGTACATCAGTTTGACTGATTTTAGCACTTGCTTAATTTCTAGCCCTCATCTTGCCAAAGTCCATCTCAACTTAGGTGCTCTGAACCAGTGGCAACTAAACTGCTCAGTTGAAAACAATCATCTTGCATAAAACAATGTTTTCAACCTTTAAATGCTATTAAATTGTTTAAGTAACAACCTCTGTCTTCTGTAATACTCTGCAATTCTAACCCTTTTTAGCTCACTTTGTTCAGAATTTCTCTTCTGAATCACTTATTGTGGTCCTTAGCGCTTTTTCAGCTTCTTTGCTATGATCTGAGGATCTGACTTATCACAATGCACACCAACATAAACATATTTCCCTGGCCATTTTACACTTGATCTTTTTTTCTCCCTACTCCAGTTTCTTTTTATTGAATTCATAGATTTTTCACATTGCTTCTAATAGTCATTAGCAGCAGTAAATCATATTGCATTTTGACTTACCAGGAAAGTAACAACACTAAACATATATAGGTGATGGATTTAGGTGAGAAATCCCACAAGATCATCTATGACAACACATGCGGTCACGGAGATTTCCACACCATTTACAATAATTTAAGTAACACTTGAAGTGGCAGAGTGGCCGGTAAAACTCAGATTATCAGCCGTCAATTTACGTCAAAGACACAATAATAATAGTTGGATCAAGAGTCCAAAAGCTAGTAAAGCAAATAACATACAGAAACTATTGATAAAATTTAAAAATAAACATGCTCAGGGCAGAATACCAAGATCTCTCAAAACGTCAACGTGATAACCTCATTGAAAGTGGAAGCATCTATCAGTCAACCAACAAAGAAATAATATTTTTTTCTGCATCTTGCAAGAACACCGTAGACCAATTTGTTTTTCCTTTCTTGTGCAACTCTATAAGTTGCATGTAACCTTTTGAGCGAGTTGTGAATGACAACATAATTCTTTCATTCATATGTACACAAATGTTTTGAGCTTTGCTATGGTCGTGTATTCCACTTTGATCCCATGATATCTTAGAAGTTTAAAACAGTCCAATCCTATTGTTTCATGTGGATCACTGCCGTTGAAAGATTGATCTTTATTCACAAACGTCAACTTGTTAAGCCTATGAAGAAAACCATTACCAGGGTCCTATAAAGAAATTGAGAATTCATACTGGTGGTTTTAATGTTATTTGTTGCAATCCAGATTTTGTTCATTTGAACTGAACCAAATTTCAGTTCCGAGGCTGATATAATTTTCATAAATTAGAATGAAATTAGAGGAGAAAATCCAGTGGAACTGTGGAGTGTCTTTGAACACCATTCTATTCCTGAAATGATTTGTCTTTCACACAGGCAAAAATAGAAATGATGTGTTACACATTGTATTTAATACTTCATCAGAGAATGCATACGATGTTCTAGCTCATAAACTATTCTACACATGTAAAGAGCGTTCACACGAACACAACCTGTACTGTGGTATAAATATTTCAATTGGGACTATAATTTACAGACACTTTTATAGTTATGCCAGACCATAAGTCACGTATTGTAAATCATTTGTCTTCCTTGAGGAATTTCCAGCATTTTAATCATGCGGTTTCCTTTGTAGCATTGATTAATGATAACTCAAAGAAAGACATTTTCTCCTAAACCAATACTTGCTCCATCTGTCTGAGTTCAATTTTCTCTTGTGCTTTTCAACACCTTATCAAGCAAGATCACAACACAGGACAGTACTGAGAAATTTCATATTGGTCACTTTGTTCTTTGGTAGCACAGTATATGTCCTAGGATGAACCAGATGAGCTGATACAGTGAGGTTTTCTGCTTGGTATTCCTGATGCATGCATATCATCCGAGTCTCAAGTCAGTGTGATTTTGCAGCCACTGAAGTTGATGGATGGAAGGTCATAGGTTTGTATTGCAGAATCTCTTGGTATGCTTTGCTAGTGTGTGTTAGATGGGCTGAAGTGGAAAGACACTCTTTATATTTGCATGACATGTAATTAGATCTAATATAACAATCAAATTGGCTGTGGGAGATTTTGACTTTTTTTTATTGATATAGTAATGAAATTTACACTTTTAAAACGAGAATCAAGCAGTGAATTATGTTTATTCAACATTGGATGGATTAAATTAGGCAGAACTGTAGTTAGAAAAATGACTACCCAATTTCAATTGTAAACTTGTTTTTGATTGAACAAAATCTGTTAAATGTCAGGAAGTTAATTGGAATGTAAATGCAGTGATTTTTGTATGTTAAAAGAAATGCTTAAATCATGGAAATTGCTCAGTCATTTGGAGGTTTTAGATTAAGTGTTAAGTGGTTGTTGACAAAACAAGTATTAAATTGGACACCACCGCCTTTCCAAGTAGCTGTCCACTTTTCAGCTTTTATTATGTAAATTTTGATATATCAACATCAAATCCTCTGTCACAAAATCTTTGGTATATTATGAAAATTAAAAAGCATGTAGCAAAACAGACACATGGTGGATTGACAGCAGCTCTTACTTTTACTCCTGAAGTCTCTAGACCAGTGACGCGATATTGAGTACTTTCTACTTTTCAGAACAATCTGATTGTAAATAGCAAGACTTAATCAATGATTCTGTGCTTTTCTCCAATGGTATTGAGCCTTTGGAATTTGCTAACATATATGCAAGTAACTGATCGTGGTTACACAAATTTTGTTTAGAGAGTTGCTTCAAAGTTTTCACAGTACTTTGGACTCATGTACCAACACTGCCTGCATTAGTCTGAATTAGAATTGAACTGGCTCTCTGGATCTTCTTTATCAAATGCGTAGCAATAGAAATTCAAAGAAAATGTTTTTTCTTAACAATGTCTGCTAGAGTAGCATGTGGCATAGAGAACCAACAGCGTGTGCATTTGGTATTTCAGATCTACAACTTAAAAAATAAATGGGCCAAATTAAATACACACCAGGAACAATGCATGATTAACCTATGTCTGGTCAACGTAATACAGGCAGCAGACTAGCTTCCTGCTGTCTGCCCATTTGAGTGACTATAGAGCTTCTCTCTTATTAGAGAGAAATGACTGATGGTGATTTAACCTGAGGGCCACCATACCTTAGGTGAGGAGAGAGGTTGAGATGGAGAGTTCTTCATGGTAATCTCAGCTGGTGCAGGAATTGAACCCACACTACTGGCATCATACTGCTTCACAAGCCAATTGTCACCGCAACTGAGGTAAACCTCTGCTCCAGCAGGGGGTGGTGGTAAGATCATTGAATATTTCTGTATGATGGAGGTGGATAGATTCTCATTAGCCAGGAGAATCGGAAGTTATCAGGCGTGATCATGGTTGTTCTGGTACCTTAACTCCATTCACCCATCCGTTCTTCATCCCATATCCCCATTTTGAAGTTGAGGAAAAATTAACTGCCCAGTTTTAATCAGCAAACCATTTCCACTGTCACTTATATTGAGTGGGCTCATGTTTAAGATGGGAAACATTTATCAGTTATAGTTTAGTAAATATGCATGTATGTTTAAATTCAGTGTAATGGTGAATTCCAGGATCATTGTAGCATTTTACAAGAGTAATTTTCAATGAATCTCTCAATATTGAGAATTGAATAACTTTCACATTGACATCTGATATCTTTATTAGTATGTTAAAATTTTTGTATTTTTAACAATATCAACATGTAAGAGATTGAAGCAGATTATTGGTTGTTATTAATAAAAAGAGCTTCAGTGTCTTCACTAGGCATTTCTTTCACGACAGTTTAAATGGTTTGATCAATGCTTTGCCATTGTTGAAGAATGTTGTACAAAGGTGTTAAAGCTCATGCTTTCTGATGCAATTCGTCATAACTTCCAGTCTGCAATTTTAATTTGAGCATTTACAAAAAGCAAATTACAAAATATTAGGTGTAAATATATTCGGATAAATATATATTTGAACCCAAACAACAGAGGTACATTGGATAGCTCCTAAATGGACAGATTCCAGGTCACCTTTGATTTCTAATCTGTCAATCTGCATTTAGTAGTTATCTGAAGCAATGTGTTGAATTCATAAGCGAAATATGTTTATACTCATTGTCTTATTCTTTTTTTTTAATTTTAGCGACTGGAGATGTTAGCAGCATTTCCTGGTATCTGCCAGATGGTAAAAAAATTGATCCAAATCAACAACGGATTGCTGTTGCAAGAGTTAATGAAATATCCTATAGTCTGACTCTCTACAGTGCCCAGATTGATGATGCTGGTATTTACAAATGTGTGGCAACGTCAAAAGATGGAAACGAATCAGAGGCTACGGTTAATGTTAAGATCTACCGTAAGACATTTAGCAATTTTTTAAAAAAGTTTATTTTTTGGCTGTATCTACGCTTTTAAGCAAAAATCTTAACATTGATAGCCCAGTTGCAAGACCTCACTCACCTTTCTCAGTCTCCAACAGAAATCTGGAAGGCCCCAAGCCACTTCGTCTGAGGTTGTTGAGCCACAATGTGGGCCTCTTCTCTGACGCTTTCTCATTATGCAATGCCACCATGATTTTGCTTGAGATGTGCAGTCTACAGTTTATATCCCATTGATCTCAATGGTTTGGAAAGGCTGGTTGCTAGAGGCTTTGTTTATCTAAAAACTTACAAAGTTAGATCTCATCTTAAGGAACAATTTGCGTGCAGCTATGAAAATCTCTGCATTTCCTCTTTGAAAATAATATTTTGCGTCTTTTAATGTCTAGACCAGTGCAAAGCTGCTATCCTGATAGGCACTAGCAATTTTTACTTTGCCTATCCAAGATAGCAATGTTTGTTTTTCCCTCAAATTGTAACGTTTATCATATTTAAAAATTGAAAATGAAAACTACCTGCCTGAGATAGAGGAAGAAAGGGAAAGAAACAAGATCCAAAGAGGATGAATGAATTTGCATATACTTCCTAAGTGTTTTGCGTCTTTTTCGTTATTTTCAACAGGGAAACTTGAATTCAGACATGCCCCTTCACCACAAGAGTTCAAAGTGGGTGATGATGCAGTTGTCATTTGTGATTCTGTTAGCTCACCTCCACCTACCATCACATGGAAGCACAGAGGTAGAGATGTTCTAATGAAGAAAGATGGTGAGCTAAAAATTCATCTATGATCGCCAGTTTTACAAACTGTAATAGTAAACTGCAAAAGTAATATTTTTGCAATTGCATTCCTGATTAGTTGGTGATTAATCGCAATTGTACTGGCGCGCATCCTCAAATACTTAAGTTTAAAGTATCCAGTTTGTTTGTTTCTATAATTATGCTTCTTGGGCTGTGTTCATGACTAATGAAAGTTGATAATAATTAAAACAGTATTCACTAACTGGCAAACAGTGCCCTTTGCTTTCTGACATTCTTTATCCACATTTGGACTTAATTGGCTCTGATTAGACAAGCACATGAATGTGCTGTCCTGTTTTTAATAAAAAAATGACAGTGTACTCCTCCAGATTGTCAGCTAGCATGGGGGTTAGGAAGGGAAGTCAGGATTTTAATGGGGACTTGGCTTAGTACACAAAGAGAAAGAATATAAAGGCAGCAAAATGGATCATCTTTATCTCGTCAATGAAAGAAGTAGAGCTACTTGTCCTGGTTTAAGGTGAGGGAGGAAGGGTTTAATGTAATGGTAACAATGGAGGCAAGAAGATTGAAATATCTTTTTATTCTTCAACTTAATCTTAAAATATTATGTGGTTTTGTAAAAGTGAAAGTGGTCTGAAAGAGCTTGATGCTGTCTACATAGATCCATTGAGAGGCTGACAATTGTGTATGGGTATGATCAAGTTTCCACACTGAACAATTGGTATAATGAAGGTGGTGATGTTACTTGGGCTCGGGAACATTCATGGTGGGTAGACTGTCATTTATTTTTTGTCATTCATGGTGGATGTGGAGGAGTGATTTGAGGAGACCTCTCTGGTGTCCAGTATGCATGTGCAGACGTCAAGGCTGAAGCATTTGCAGCCATCTTCAGTCAGAATTGCCAACCAGATGATCTCTCTCTGCCTCTTCCTGAGGCTCCCTACACCTTGGGTGCCAGTTTTCAGGAAACTCAATTCACTCCACATAATATTAAGAAATGGCAGAAGGAACCTGACACTACAAAGGCAGAGGGCCTGACAACATCCCACCTATACCACGGACGACTTGTGCTCCAGAGCTAGCCACTCCTCGAGTTACGCTGTTCCAATACAGGTACAACATTGGCATGTAACCAAAAGTAAGAAAGTTACCCAGATCCACAAAAAGCAGTACAAGTGCAACTTGTACCATGCTACCCATCGACTTGGTTATCAGCAAAGTGTGCGAAGGTGTTGTTGACAATACTTCCCATCAGCATTTATAAAGCAGTAACCTTCTCACTGACTTTCAGCTGGAATTCTGCCAGTACCACTCAGTTCTTGTCCAAACATGGACAAGCCTTGGCAATAAGGCAGTATTTGACCAAGCATGGCATCACCGCATCCAAGCAAAAGTGAAGTCAAAAGGAATTGGAAGAACTGCTGTTTGGAGTCGTAGCTAGCACAAAGGTAAGCTGGTGAAGATAGTTGGCAGTAAAACAACTCAAATGCAGAACGTTAGGAGTTCCTCAGGGTAGTGTTCTTGGCTCAATCCTCTTCAATTACTTTATCAATGATCATCCCTCCATCATAAACTCAGAAGTGGGAATCTTTGCTGATGATTACACAATATTCTGCACCGTATGTGACACTTCAGATACTGAAGCTGTGCATGGTCACATGCAGCAAGACCTGGACAGTGTCCAGACAAGGAACGATAGGTAGCAGTTGTCTGGAATTTGTGTGGAATGAATGTTAATGACTATTTCTAACAAGAGGGAATCTAACCATCTTCCTTTAATAGCATTAGCGTGCTAACTTTCCCAGTACCGACATTCTGGAGGGTTACTACTGATCAGAAATTGAACTGGACCAGCCGTGTAACTAATGTGGCTGCAAGAACAGGTCAGGGACTGGAAATTCCTGTGGAGCATAAATCGGCTCCTGACTCCCACCATCTACAAATGTAACGGAATGCTTTCTGCTTGCCTGGATGATTGACACATCATCCGCCAGCTTAAATATTCACTGACTCCACCCCTGTTGTACAGTGACAATAGCATCTAGAAAATCATTCTAGCAACTCACCAAGGCACCACCTTCCAAATCCGGGACACACTTCTCTCCACTCATCTGCATCTTTCAAATTTGTATCATATACAGACTGTGTTGTCTTTCAATGTTAGTAATTCTAAAGTGCATTACTTCACACTTCACTGCATCAAACGCCATTTGCCATGCCTTTACGCATTTCCTGAGAATATGGAATCCCTGCAGTGAGGAAACAGGCCATTCGACTCATCGATTCTGTACTGATCCTCTGAAGAACAACCCCCCCAGTCAGACCCAACCCCCACACTATTCCTATAACATTGTATTTACCATGGCTAACCAACTCAGTCTACACATCCCTGGACACTACAGGCAATTTAGCGTGGCCAATGCATCTAACCTGCACATCTTTGGATTCTGGGAGGAAACCAGAGCAACCGGCAGAAATCCACGCAAACACGGGGGGAATGTGTAAACTCCAGACAGACAGCCACCCGAGGGTGGAATCGAACCCGGGTCCCTGGCCACTGCTAACCACTGAGCCACTGTGCATCTTGTTTGTAATCCCTAAATCTTCACGGTGGCAAAGCAATTTGTTAAGGTGGTTAAAAAAACGATGTTTGCCTTGGGCTTACAAACAAGGGAATACAATATAAAAACAACAAGATCAAGCTGGAATTCTCTACAACATGGGATAGGCTCACCTGGAACACTGAGGACAGTTGTGGGGCACGACACTTCAAGGCAGATGTAAAAGCCTTGGGAAGGGAGAAGGTTTTACCAGGATTTACTGGCATAGGGGACTTCATTTTTAAGGAAAGGCTTGTGGAGCATAGAAAATTAAGAGGTAACCTAACGAAGTGTTCAAGATGGAAACTACTTTTAGAATAGATGGAGAAAGACTTTGGCAAGAGGTCAGAGAAAAAATCATTGGCAGCTAAAAGAATTGGACTAGTTGTTGAACATGAAAAACTTGGATGATTATGGACAAGAAGCAGAGTTAAAGGAGTAGAAATGACTGCTGTTTTAAAGAGTCACCATAGGTCAGACAGGGCAAATTGATTCCTTCTGTACTGTAAGTTTCGGTGATTCTAAATGGACACACACTTACATAGGTGGGGCAGAGATTAAGTGTGCCATGTCATGGTCATAAACAAGAGGGCCAGATGGCCAAAGGCCAAGAAGAACAATGTCAGTATATTTGTTGTTAGTCATCATCATCATCATCTTCATCGTCATCATCTTCATCATCGTCATCATCATCATCCCCTTAGAGACGAGGATGACCCTATGGCTGTGCAGAATGATACCGAGACTGTGGTAGCTGTTACGCTTGGGGCAGATGGTGGTCATGGGAAGAGGGTGGGTGGGGCGTTGGTGTGGCAGCGCACTCCTTTTGTTGTCTTTTCCTGGCTTCTGCTTTTTAACGACGACAAGTCTCAAGGTACTCGATGCCTTTCTGGATGCTCCTCCTCCACTTTGGATGGCTTTGAGCCATTGTTTCCCAGGTGACTGTGGGGATGTCACACCTCGCCAGTGAGGCTTTGAGGGTATCACTGAAGTACTTCCTCTGTCGATCTGATGCTCACTTGCCATTGCACAGCTAGGAGTAGAGCACCTGCTTGGGGAGTCTCATGTCAGTCATACTGATGACATACCCAGCCCATCTCAACTGATTAAGGATGGTCACTGCCTCTGCTGGCGATATTGGTCTGGTTGAGGATGCTGGTGTTAGTACTTCTTTCTTGTCAGTATCACTTCAGTGGTAGCAAAGAGTGGGCTTGTGCTTTGTGTGGGATGCGAATGTGCAGGATGTAGGATCTATTCAGTTTCAATTAAGAGACAATTCTATATTTGTAACCTGGTCAGGGCTTTAGAATATTTAATGTGGAAATTGTGGCAGCTGTGACCATTCAGAATTTATTTCTGAGCTTGAGGGCTGGCAGCCAAGGAGAAATTATAAACCTTTGTCGGGAAGCCTTGTGTATTAATGACAAATTAATTATCCCCGTTAACAGCAGTGTTAAATAGATATGATTCATTTCTGAGTCATAGAGGTAAGCACACAAAGAACTGGAACCCAAACCTAATTAAGTTGAATGCTGCCTTGCAAGGTTTGTTTCTGCTTGAAATTGTTTATATCTGTGAATTCCTTTTCTCATTGGCCTTTCACTGCAGGGCACATTCCAAAGTGGGTTAGTTGTGATTAATATGAAAGACTGCATTTTTCTAAACCTATCTTGGTGCCAGCTTGGATATCTAAGCGAAGTGAGACATCAGACAAGACCAGCGTTCTATCGTGTTCCTACTTTCCTGTGTAGCTCTGTGAGTTAGAGGCTCTGTAACATTCAGTGTTGCATTCATCCAGATATCAAACGAGGCAGATCACAGGCCTAAACAAAGGTGTGTCACCATTGAATTGTACTTGATAGTTTCTAAGAAGGTATTCAGAGCTTGTCTTATCTTTAAAGATTGCAGAAGCCAACTAAGTGATGGGTTTTATAAAAGAAATGGAAAGGCAAGCAAATACAATGTGTGGACTCAGACCTGTCTGGTGACTGGTGAAGTGGTAAAGATGTTGTAGGAGAGTGGACCAATGACTCATTACATAGCAACATGCCCATTATGTTGTTGACTGCAAAGATCTGGAGGCAGCTGAAGATCACTGTCACTGGATTCATGTTAAATGTAGGAGCCTTGCAGCTGATGATGCAGCTCTACATTATCTTATTTGTTTACCCCAAATCTTTTCCAGGTTGCTGCGCATGGTAAAACCAAATTAGCTACTGAATCGCCATGACACCCCTTTTATGTGCAGTGACACTGAAGAAATAGCCAATTTTAACTGGGCTTTTCTCAAGAATCACCCAGCAATATGGAACAAGTCCTGACCTTAGCAGTGGCACCCACTTCCCATGAAAGAATAAAATTAGATTTTCAAGTTTCAGTATTACAATACTGTCACCAGATAAAAAT